TCAAATAGTGAATGAATATTTAACTTTAACTTTATTTATAATATATAAAGTCTCATCACGGCGAGCACATGCTTTGAATAAATTTTGCACAAAAAGTGTTTTATTTGACCTTTCAAAGTTACATTACAGTGGTCCTTTTTTCTTCTACATTTTTTAGATTTTTTTTCTTTATGCAAAAATATCTATTACTTTATTTCATCAACGAGAAATAGTTATAACTAAAACCTTAAGAAGCATAATAGAAAAATAAAATAATTAATTTTTGAACTACGTAAATATTTTAGGAGTAAATATTTACGTGAGAGAAAAAGGGAAAATTTAAAATAAGTAAATAAAAAGCTTCTTATTTATATAGACAGTATCAATTATACTTCCAAATAATTTTTTTCCTTAAATTTAAAAAAAAATCAATCAAGTTTTATAAGAAATGACTTTTTATTTATTTGAAACTTAAAGGCTTTTTTATTAAAAAATTCTAACCGAAAAACCTGATTGAGAAGTCAAAATTGTTTGAGAAAAAATTAATTAAAAAAATTGTTTGAAGACATAATTGATCCTGCATTCGTACCTAGGGCTGCAGTTTTTACGTTTGCTTAGTAAAAGACGTGATTTGCATCGAAGGATGGTTGTTGTTAACCAGGTTGATTGTGCAACGCTCATGATTTTCATTTTTTTTTTTTTTTTCGATCTTGCAACTTGCGAGGAGGTCCCGAACAAAGAGTGAGGTTTATGCTGTAGTCCTTTTTTTTTAAATGCCGCAGTCATTAGTTGGGAGTAGATTATAAATTAATAATTTTAGTTTTACAGAGTGAATTAAATAGTTTTGTTTTAGTTTTAAAATTAATAATTAATTAGTTAGTTGATAAATATTGACCATTCTTAATTTAATATTAATTTAATTTAAAATTTTTTTCTTATCTCAATAATTTTTCATAATATCTTTATTTTTTATTTTTTTATTTTGTTAATAAAATGATGGAAACTCAAACAACGATAAAAGAACCAAATCACAAACTTATACTATATGAACGGAAAAAGAAAGAAATCTATCAGCACAAAGATAAGATGATAAAAGTTGAGCAAAGATGAATTTTTAAAAAAACATTCAATGAGTAACTAATAATATTTATTTTAAATTCCACTTTGAAGGGTGAAGCAAATACAAATAAAAGATAAAATTACATCCAAAAATACTAAAAGCGATAAAAATATTTTTATTTATGTTCAATTTTTTTATTTCTCTCTCTTGTATTACCTTTTACTCTTTGTGTCTATCCTTCTTTTGTAAGAAATATTATTAGTTCATAAAATAAATTTTTTACACTAAAAGAATGCACTTTGAAAAAGGCAGATACAAATAAGAGGAAAAAAAATCATATCTAAATCTACTAAAAATTATAAGAATATTTATATTTACTTGTTTTTGAAGTATCTTTTTATTGTTTATGTCTTTGTTATTTTTCTTTACTCTTTATATCTATCTTTCTCATAAAATAGGTATTATCAGTTAGTCCAAAAATAAAATTTCGACAGAAAAAGAAGGTACTTGAAAGTGAGAGATACATACAAATAAATAAAAAAGAAAATTACATTCAAGTTTACTAAAAGTAATAAGAATATTTTCTTAAATTTTTTATTCTCTCTCCTATTGTACTCTCATTTTTGTGTCTATCTTGTAAATTAAATTATTATCAATACATGATGGTAGTAAAAGACTATCTTGTAAATTAAATTACTTTCAATCTGCTGCTAATTGCTTTAGAATTTCTAATGTCCCAATCCTAAAAGTTCACATTAATCACATAATAAATAAGAATAATGTTAGAAATAAATGAATATTTTTTAAAATACTTTATCACATTAATCATATAATAATTATTATAGAATGAAATAATTAATCAATTATAAACAAACGGATTGTAATATTATTTAACAGAATTTAAGCATTTATAAGATTACTCGTAGTGGATATAATGATCAATTGTTACTCGTAAAGTGATATAATTTTGAATCTCTATAAATCGTTAGTTAAATTTGTACTACTTTGGGACCAAATATTCAGTGCTGCAAGTATTTTTATGGAGAATAAAAATCTTATATAATGAAATTAAGAAAAATATTTTTTTAATTTTTTTAACTCACACATTAAAATTTTTAATAAAATTAATCTATTAAAATTTAAATTCATGATTTTTTATGATAAAAAACCACTGGATTATAAACAAGCTCTATAGTCATAAGATATATTTAATGGTAGCCTTACCCAGAAAATCAGGTGATTTTTTTTTTTTCTACCCTTGATCATAAGCACCATTTTTCATCTGGTCAAACACGAAACAACCCCAGAGCAAACAGTTCACATCAACAATTACCACCCGGCGGCCATCTCCTAAATAATTAGTTTTTAAAAGACTCGTTGTTGGTTTTATAATATTTTCAACTTTTGATCGAACATAATTTCTAATTTATTTAGATTCTATTCTTTTTTAATCAGCAATCAAATCAAAATCTAGCTTTCTGTTGACTCATCTCCGCTGACGTAATGAAGGACGACACTTGTCTTGAGAGATATTTTCCTTTGAAAAGAATTTTATTTGATAAGATAAATTTTATAATACTTAACTCAATAAATAATTAATGATATATATAATAATTATTTTATAAATTTATTTTTTTAAAAATATAAATATATATAAAAAAATTATTTAGACTCATCAACCCCGAAATTGATAAGATATTTATCTCTTTTGGAATTGATTCACAAAATAATTAATATATATCTCTATATCTAATTACTTTTTAAATATTATAAAATTTTTATATTTTTATCATTTTTTTTAAAATAAATTTATAAAATAATTATTATATATATTATTATTCAGTTAATCACCTTACGAGTATTATAAAATTTCTACAATTTCATAAATGTGAAATGAAGCAATTTTTATTTATTTTTTAATTTCCTGATTACTTCTGAGTTTTTCAATTTTATTCCACAAGTTTCATCTTCTCTCCTTCTTCTACTAGGGTCAGTAAAGAAAAATCAAAAGCAACGAGCCACAGGCAAACCTTTCGGTTTTCTCCTCCCTCATCCACAACCGTCAGCCAAGAATGGCTGAAAAAAGAAAAACACAAACTCCATAAAAAACAGAAAATATATAATACCAAAAGGAAAATAAGGAAAGAGAACACAGAAGATAAGAGATGGAGAAAGGGAACGTGAAAGAAATAACGGAGGAGAAAGGAAAGGAAAAAAAAAGCAGAACAGAGAAGATAAAATAAACAACGGACGAGAGATAAAAAGACAGAAAAAAGAGAGATAAGAAATAGAGAACAGAGAGAAGAGATGGAGATAGAGATGTGGAAATAAATACTAGAGGAGAGAGAAAAGACAAATAAAAGAAAAAGAAAAAGAAATAACAGGAGAGAGATATTAGAAATGAATTTAGAGAGTCCGAAGTGAAATTGAATTTGAGTTTTAGGGGAATAGTTGAAGATGAATTCTTGTTTTATTGACTTGCAAAAGAAATAAAGTACAAACATACCAGGATGAAGTTAACTGTCACTAATTCAGCTAATCAATTACTTAGGAAGTAAATGAACTAGAGCTAAATATTTACTTAAAAGACTAACTAATTAATTCGGTTTCTAACTAAGTATGTCAGAATTAAATAACAATCTTCTACTTATTTTTTTTATACTCTACCTCAAGATGAATAGCAAAAATATTAATGATGCTCTTCTTCCTTGGAAGTAATCAGAATTAAATAACAGTCTTTTACTTTTTTCTCTTACTAAGAGAAGAAAGACAAAAAAAAAAAAAAAAACCGAGAAGAGAAGAAAAAATAAATAAAAAAGTAGAGAGAAGTGAGAGAGGAAAAAAAAAAAAAAAGAGAGAACAGAGAAGGTAAGAGATGGAGACAGGGAAGGGAAGGGGAAAGAAATAACGGAGGAGAGAGAAAAGAAAAAGTAGAAAATAGGGAGGTAAAAATGAGAATTTTGAATATTTAATTCAAGTTTGGATTTTTTTGTTTATTTTATACAAACGCGTAGCAAAAGATAAAGAGAAGATTTGATTTGATTTGATTGCTTATTAAAAAAAATCGACATTTAAGTCAGAAAAAATGAAAATTAATCATCTTTCTCCATTCCACACAAACTTCAAGATACCATAGAGCTAGCTAGCCTTTCTGAAACAACGAGATTAATTAATTTTTGAATGGCTGGTTCTACAATATCATATATTAGATTGGTACTTCAAATTATTTTTTTCAATTCAAATATTATAAATAATATTTAATTTGTAATTAAATTAATCGATCTCGTTAATTAATATTCAGTCATATGTAACATACATATGTTGGTGAAATAAGCAAAAAAGTCCATTAACTTTTTTGTGTCTATATTCATCATCTTTCTCTTTCTCTCCTTCTCTGTATGCCAAAGCCTACCACCAATATCCATAACGTTTTTAGGATTGATAAACAAAAGATTAAAAAAGAATCCTCAAACCAATAAAATGTCGTTACACAATAAAATATCAATAGCTAGCACTTTCTTTCTCCTATAACATCATCCTACATTATCACCTTCTTTGATCTCCTAAATCTTAGAAGCGACAAAACTAGAATCACCATCCTCCACTCTCACTCTCCTGGTGTAACTAGACCCACTCTCAATCTAGAGTCCTTTTATTCGAAGAGAAAGGAAAAATCGAGAATAGGCAAGTACAAAAGGATGAGATTCAAAAATTGGATTCTTGCATGGTCTTTCTCCTTGAAACTAAAGCAAGTGAGTTTGATAAGGTGACAATTTAAAAAGTTATGAAACGGTAGTGACATCAATGTCCATCCAAACCTGTCTACACCATGCCGGTGCTCTCACACCTTAAAAGGCTTCGAAATTAAAAAGAACCTGCACATACAAGTAAATTGAAGTGTTTCACACCTTCGAAATGGTGCAAACACTCTCTTCTCTCCCAACTAAAATCTACAATTCAAATGCCTTCTCTCTTTTTGTATGCTGATTAATTGATTTAGATTTTTTTTTCAAAATCTCATATTTTGTTTTAATTTAAAAGTGAGATAATTTATAATTTTATTGTATCAAGTTGGTCGGTAAAGAAAGCAAATTCAACATATTTTTTATTTATTAAATCACTTCAGTATTATATGTGAAAAATATACTCGAAATTTGATTGAAAAGATCGATCAATTTAATTATAAATAAAAAATAATTATGATATTCGAATTAAAAAAATTTACTTTGACAATACCAGCCTACTGTCAGCACATAGTACAAGTTACTATAGAACCGATTAACCTTAATTTTTGAAACAAAACTAGAAGGACTATTTGTAATTTACTCTAGCACGTGGCTACATCACTATTCAGTCGCTCACAGTCCCTTATTAACGCGGCAGCTTTTCTACTCAACCATCAGAAATTCCAAACTACAAGATTGTTGCCACTTGCTTGCTATCTTCTCCCTCTTCTATCTCCCTCTGCTACAATCTGCTTAAACGAAACAAAATGAGCTGGTGGTGGGCTGGTGATCTTAGCGCTGCCTGGGTAAAAAACATTAATCGATCCTCTCGATCACATTTAATTAGATCTAATTAAATAATTATTATAATATTGCGATCTCATTTGTTACTACATGATTTGATTTGCAGAAGAAACCGGAAGTTCATGGGGGACAAGGAAGCTACCAGAGCGTGGCCTTGATAGTAGGAGTAACAGGAATTGTCGGCAACAGCTTGGCCGAAATCCTCCCACGCTCCGATACACCAGGCGGTCCATGGAAAGTTTACGGCATGGCCCGTCGTCCTCGCCCAAACTGGCATGAGAACTGCCCAGTTGAGTACATCCAGTGCGACATCTCTGACTTGGCCCAAACACAGTCAAAGCTCTCTCAGCTCACTGATGTCACTCACATTTTTTATGTCACCTGGGCTAGCCGTTCCAACGAAGCAGAGAACTGCAAGATCAACGGCCTTATGTTCCGGAACGTTCTTCAGGCTGTTGTCCCGACCGCCACTAATCTCCGTCATGTCTGCCTCCAAACCGGAACCAAGAATTACATCGGCCCTTTCGAGTCGTTTTACAATTTCGAATCGCATGATCCTCCTTACTCAGAGGATCTGCCAAGATTAAAGGTACACAATTTTTACTACACTTTGGAAGATGTTATGTTCGAGGAAGTGGCAAAGAAAGAGGGAGTGACTTGGTCTGTTCACCGTCCTGATATCATATTTGGCTTCTCGCCTTATAGCTTGATGAATATAATCGTAACTCTCTCTGTTTACGCTGCTATATGCAAGCACGAGGGAGCTCCATTGATGTTTCCAGGGACTAAAGAGGCTTGGAATTGTTACGCCATCGCATCAGATGCCGATCTGGTGGCCGAGCAGCAAATTTGGGCATGTGTGGAGCCTAATGCTCAAAACCAAGCATTTAATATTCACAACGCAGATATCTTCAAGTGGAAGCATTTTTGGAAAGTTTTGGCAGAGCAGTTTGGGATAGAAAAGTATGGGTTCGAGGAAGGGGAAAACAGAGTGACCTTGGCGGAGAGGATGAAAGATAAAGGACCAGTGTGGGAGGAGATAGTGAAGAAGAATCAATTGTGCCCTACTAAGTTAAAGGAGGTTGGTGGCTGGTGGTTTGTGGATACCATGTTTGGTGGTGAGGCTTTTATATCGTGTATGAATAAGAGCAAGGAACATGGATTCTTGGGGTTTAGGAATTCCACCAAATCATTTGTGTATTGGATTGGTAAGATGAGAGCCCAGAAGATCGTCCCTAACTGAAGCGATTTGTTCTCCAGTTTCCTTGTATTAGCTGTTGCCTGTTTGTAAGATGCGGTTTATGAGTGTTCAAAGAGAAGAGCGATGAGGGAGAGGTTTTTACTTTGTATCAACTTTTAAGATAATATCAATAAGGTGTTTCTAATTTGGCAAGATTAATTCATGTTTGTTGTGTTACTCGTAATTCGTGATTAGTCGTTTAGACCAGACGGTGAAGAAGATTACTTCCTCTTTTAATTTTTTTGAATTTGAATATCCTTAAAAGATTTGTTCTACTGTATATTGAGTTAAAGTCGCTCGAATGCCATCAAAACAAAAGTATTACTCACTTACTTGCTAGGATGTTTTTTGTTATTTTACTTGAGAGACTATTAGGAACCTGGTCTTCCCGACACGGAAGCCCAAGTCCGAGTGCTTTGAGTCAATTCACCCCCTACAGGCAAGGGAATACGATTAACCCTGAAGAAAAATTGAAATAAAATATTAAAATAAAAGGTACGCTCTCCTTCTCTCTTTCTCACCAAATTTGAAAATGATTGTTCAAGGTTCAAGCCTTATCATGATTAGAAAATTTATTTCTTTATTTTCTTGTCTAGTGTTTGGCCTCGTGAGAAAACGAAACCAAAACGCACAATTCTTAAGGAGATTTGACTTAAAAAATTAAGAACTGATTTTACCCTTTAGTCTCTTTCGTTTTGAGTGTCGCCCAGGTGTGATATAATTCATTCAAGAAAAATATTCATCATGATTTGTATATATAATATTTTCATTTATTCGAGCAGCAAACATTAAAAAAAGGAAATTGAGACTTGAGATATTTCATTTCCAAATTATGTTGAGAAAATTCAAAATATATAGTCTAAGATGGTCCCTGCATGTTTGAATCTTTGATGAAGGACAAAGCTTGAGATTTTGTAGTCATGTACCCTTTGTTACTCGTTTGTTTTCCTTTTAACTAATCTCGATTAGTTTTTTAGGATGATGGCATGGCTTTTATGTAACCGAATGTCTTCATTTTTATTGTATTGGTTTATCGCTTGACTGGAGAATTGATAATTTCTCGTTCCAAGAGTTCCGCTGGAATTTTTTTGCTTGATTTTCTCAAAAAGAAAAAACTAATTATGATTGTGAAAGATTTATCGAGTACAATCTTTTCGCTTCCTTTTCTTTTTCTTCACTTCTAATAAATTTTGATATGATTTTATGTTTTTTTTTTTTTTGCTGAGTTTATTTCTTATTTGATTAAATAATTTACTATTACATCTTATGATTTTAAAAAAATTTACATTATCAACAATCATGAAGTGATGAGATCTTTCACCAATCGAGTCTGATAATGTGGTCATTTCTCTATTGGTTGATAGTTGTTTGAAAAAGATTTTGGCATATGAAATGCAACAATAGTTATATTCTGATTTAATATACTAAAAAAAATCAAAAATTTTATAGCTATTAATTATATTAGTATATTTTTCAATGTTACAAAAAATAAAAAAATAAACTAAGTTTCGATAATCATACTAACATAAGTAAAAAAATTTAATTTTAATTTAACATAACATGAAATGAGTATGATAATATGATTAAATTTAACACCTAGAATTCCATTTGACTTATTTGAGAAATTAGCTATCCATTTTTTACTAAATGTCATACATTCCCTCCCAAACCCAAATTAGAAAATCCCTAATCCCTCCTTATTGTCGTGGCAAAATCCCTAACCTTTCTTTTCTCGTTCCCGAACCCAAAAATCTCCCTCTGCCTCCACGAACCAAATCTCTACCTCTTCTCAAATAATCATATCCACTATCAATCAGTGTCTGCTAATTGGCATACAAGAGACACATTAATCAAAATGTCAAGAAGAAAGAAAAATCGGAATTGGAATCTTGTTTTCAATGGATCAAAATGAATAAGAGGTAAGATGATTACTTATGCACTCACTACTCATAAAAAGAAAACCACAAAACATGAATCCATATCATCCTTACAAATTTGGACACCGAAGAGCTAAAACACAAACAAAAACCTAGATTAATTTAAAGAGAAACAGCACATATCAGGACCTTATTCTTCATTTCAATGTCCTCACCTCACTCTTAAAATGTCTTTTCTTAGGCTGTATTTGTTTGGAAAAAAACAAGTTTTATGGAAAAATCAATTCCTGAAGAAGCTATTTTTCAAGAAATTATTTTTCCAAAAACATATTTTTTGCTATTTGACAATTACATGAAAAAAATTGCTAGAAAATATATTTTAACGTTTGTTTGATACGGAAAATTAAAATACAAAAACATATGCGATTGTTATATCAATAAGTTTTGAAAAAACTTCAAAAAGATATATTCATGATTTCACAATATAAGATACATTTAGAAAAATTTAATAAATTTTCATAAATACTAACTCTAAAATTTTAATTTAAAAAATAAAATATATATTTTTAACTATCAACCCAATTCATCAAAATTACTTAGGATAAAATCAAATCAATATTCACATTTAGTAAAAAACGATTTTAAGCAATCCTAACATTGTTATTTTGATAACTCAATTAATTTTTTTTTTAAAGAAATTGAACTGATAATTTAGTATGAAAAATATTTTTATAAATTATTAGTTATCATTTATAGATAATTATTCATTTGGTCTCAAAAGATTAATGTTGGAATAATTTGTAACTAATTATTCACTACAATTACTAACAAAATTTTACAATTAATTAAAATTAAAAATTATTGATTTAATCGCTAATGAATAGTGTTGGAAAAATAATGTATTTATTGATGAATTAATTAATTTCAATTTTTTTTTACAAACAATTATAGTTTTGTAATAATCATTTTCAATCATTTAAGTATGGTTTAGGTGGTGTTTGAAATAATAATAATGAAATAGAGATAAATTATTGAAATATTTATTATAAAAATAATTTTAAGATGTAAAAATGATTTTAAGAATATTTAATGTATCTATAAATAAAAAAATCAAATAATAATAAAAATAGAGAAAAAATAATTAAATAATCAACAATAATTGATAAGGAATAATTAAAAATTAATTTGATATATTTTAAATAAAAATAAGATAGAGAAAAAAATTATTAAAATATATCGAGACAAAAATAAATAATGCGAGAGCGAGACAGTTTATGAAAAAGAAAATGTTTTACTCTTTTGAAACTGAGAAAATATTTTTTAAAAAATACTATATCATTTTTCATTTATTGAAAATTATTTTTCATTGTTTTTTTAAATGGAAAAAAATACTAAAAAATTAAAAAAACAGATTTCTGAAATTTGTTTTTTTTTCAAACAACCACAGCCTTAAGGATGGTGCGACTTTCCTTTCTTGTACCATACGGAGAGAGGGCTGATTGGCGATCCCACGGCAGAATATCCCCATTTTTTAAGATCTCGATGACTGCAGGAAATTGTCAAAGCGTTGGCGGCTCGATTTTGTTTTTCACAATCAGCATTTTGGTCCATGATTCAGCAACGGCATACCCTTTCATCAGCCGTACATGGAATTCCTTGTTCTTAAAGTAACAAAAATAGATAAAAGTCTTTCAAAAGGTCTGAGTTCGTGGCGTCACAGAGAGGATTTTAGATTGGGGGATGAGAACTAGAAAGGTTAGGAATTTTCCAACGATAATAAGAAGGGATTAGGGATTTTTCAATTGGGTTTGGAGGGAAATAGATGACATCTTGTTAAAAAAACCGATAGTTAATTTTTCAAATAAATCATCTGAAACTTTACATAATAAATTTAGTCATATTGTCATATTTATTTCCCATCACCTTTGCTTAAAATGAAAAAATTCATTTATTCTAATACAATTACTAGAAGTTTAGATAATTTTTTTTATAATATTAAAAGAACAAGAACTTGAAGCTTTTTTTTATATTGACAATAAAGATTTTTTTAATTTTAAGTTAGTGGTATTGTTGTTATTGTAAGTATTTTTCAAGCATTTGTTCTGCCCACAACACCGTTCACCCCTCTTTTTGCCATACATTGAATGATTTTTAGTAATTTTGAGGTTTTTTTAGGTATTTTATATGTAAAGTTTTGCTTATGTTATTCTTTCGATTTTTATTTTTTTAACAACTTTTATTTTAATGCACAATTTTATTTGTATTATAATCTGATCCCTAACTGCTAAGAGGAGAGAGAAAGGAAAAGAGAGAAGGAAGGAGAGAGAAATTCATGTATGAGTTTTTTAATAAATTTTTAGAATATAGTTATTGCTTTTAAAAAAATTAATATAATTTATATGATGAATTTTTTTAATTTTTAAATGATATTAATATTGTTATGTGTGTGTGTGTGTGTTAAAAATTCAAAGAATTCATTATATAAATTATATCAAAAAATTAAGAGAAAATAACGATATATATATTTAAAAGTGTTTTTTAGATAATTTGTCTCGGATATTTTTTTTTAAAAAAATTATAAGAAACATTTTTAGTTAAGAATCCATAGATTTTTGAATCTTCTTACAAGTTTTTAGTTAAGAATTCAAATATAAAAGAATAAATTATGTTTTTTTAGTAGAAAATTTATAAAAAACATAATGAATAATTTGTTAAAAAAAATTAAAAAATAATAATTTTGTTTTTATTTTTGATTTAATATATTTTAATAGATTTATAATATAATAAATATTATGAAACTAAAATTATTTTTTCAAATAATTTTATATATCTTGTCTCAAATGTAGTATAACATGGATGAAAAAGTAGTGTAATGTTAAGCTCTCAAGTCATAATAATTGGATTCAATAGAGATCGCATATTTCGTTTTCCCGAGGAATTAGAAGATGTGGCCAACTGGGGAGAGAATAGCGGACCTGATCAGTTAATTTTAGCAGTTTATTGGGCTTTCATGCCTATTTTGATTTCTTAATGGGCTGGGTATCTCCCATCTGTTTGTTCCTTAGTCTTCAGTTATAGAAGCCGAGCAAAAAAACGGGTGATGTTTCGAATTCGAACGTTCACTGCGGTATTCTTAATTACCGATACGATCGCACGATTCCATAATTGCCACTGATTTATTTTGATTTTTATTATTCTTTTTGTGCTTACTGTTCTTGCCCAGCTTAGAAGAAATGGTGATTACAAATTTTAGTGGAACTGGTGTCGGATTCGGTATACCCTTACTACAATTACTTCTGATTTTTTGTTTTCTATTTCTCTGTTGTTTATGCAAAATTTGATTTCAGGTTTCGGTGTTGGATGCGGCTTTGGCGTAGGCTGGGGTTTTGGGGGTCAGTCCCTTTTCCTTTTCTATTTCAGTTTCAAGTCTATTACTTCTGATTTTACTTGATGGAAACCCAGCTAAAATCATGCTGCTTCTTTGAACTTTGGGTTTCTTATTTGATTGGATAGGCGGTTAGGATTGATTTCTGCTCTGGCTTTTGAAGATGGGATTGCCTTAATTTTTTAAAGAAATGTTGTTAATTTTTCATGTGAATCTTGTAGCGATGGCTCTTTAACTAAACACTACTTTACCACTGCGATTGATCAAAAATTTATTTTGAGTCTTCTGCCCTTCTTTTTGTTTTTTCAGTTACTTTTGGGTTTTATTTATTTATTTCCAAGGCAGTATAAATAAATACATTGCCTGGACTGTAAAATCTGTTACAATATACAGAAGAAGAGAAGAGGATCGTTGAGAAATTCGCAGAACTTAAGGAAATGAAGAACCTAACAATCATCACTTTGTCATTCTCTTAAGGGGGTAAGGGTTTTTAGTTTAATCTTCACATTAGGTGGTCTTTCTGGAGAGAAAACAACAAACTGTCCTTCTTCATTGTTGATTGCCAGATAGATGTGGGTTGTGCATGAATTCATTTGGTTAAGTGTGCTGGGACTTCTTTTCTTGCTCAACCAAACTAGTCTTGCTACTTCAATCTTGCTCAATAGAGTTATTTGTTGCTTGCTATTCATGGCTGGGGCATAATTCAATGATTTTGATCTAGTCTTGCATTTACCTTCTATTACTGCCCACACGAAAACACAAAGGTGATTGTGTCCTCTTGTTTTGCAAAATATGAGCCACATCTAATAATTTTGGTGCAATGATATCCATTTGTCAAATTGATTGGAACAACTTTGTGATATTCAGATTTTTGAATGATCCCATGATCCTTGATATAGAATTTATCTGGTTGATGTCTGTGGTAGAATAAGTGCCCCATCTGACTTACTGTTTGAGATTCTTTAGTAAATGTTACCTTTGAGTGTGAACATTGAGCAGCCAATTCACTTATGTCTATGTTTGTTTGGTGCAGGCATGCCTATGAATATCTTGGGTTTGGGCGCAGGTATGCAATTTCTTGTCTCTTTACTCAAATCTAAACCCTAGACTATCATTCATATACATTTCTTAGTCTATAAATTATGCATCCTGTTCAAGAATTGTTCAGAATTAGGACTTCTGTTTTCGCAGGTGCAGGCTGTGGGGTTGGTCTAGGCCTTGGATGGGGCTTCGGTGCTGCCTTTGGGAGTCAGTATAGGTCATCTACTGTCACATTCCAGGGCATGGAATTGGCCAAAAAAGAAGAAAGTGGGGGCAATCACTCTTGAATATTTGTTATGAAGCGAAGTTCATGCTTTTCTTGTGGTTTTTTCTTTTAATGTTCAATTTGTCATGGAACTGTAAAAAAAAAAGCCGTTCAATCTATTTTTATGTTCAACGTTCTGTAGTTTCGGAACCACATTATTCAGCACAATGCAACACAGAAATTGTGTATGCCAAGGATAGCTTGTATGGATATGAAAGAAATGCAATATCCCCATTTCCATGGGTTTATGGGAATGGGACTGTTACATCAAGTGGACGGCGCCATAAAGTACTCATTTCCATGCAGCCACCTTCCTGGCGAAGTGGCAAACAGGTTGAATGTGTAGTGTAGAACTTGATGTTTTACTCGGTTCAAGTTTCGAGCTGCGCCTGGCAATGCTTTTCCATCTATGCTTCACTATTAACGAACTCCTTCCTCTTTAAAAGTTCTACCTATGTTGTCTACAAATTATTTTATGCAGATGAAAACGTGTCACAGAACTTCTCAGCAGTCGAGTAAATTATAAATTAGTCCCTCTAGTTTTGCAAAACGAATTACATAGCCTGTCTTGTTTTAAAAACTAATTAACTAGTCATTTCATCAGTGTTAATTATGGTTATTGTAAGAGCACTTGTTCCAAAAAATATTTCTTTTCTTAGCAATCATTTTATATTTTATTTTTATTTTTTTTCTTTTTCTATTATTTAAAATAAAAAATCAAAATAAATTGAAAAAGAAAGAAAACGATTAAGTTATGAAGAGATTTTAAAATACAGAGAGTAATTAATTAGTTTTTTAAATTAAAGGGAATATTTAACTCTTTGTGAAAACCTAAAGGGCCTAATCTATGATTTACTCAAAGAAAAAGAGACTAGGACCCAACATTGAATCCACCACAAGCGTCACCTAGAAAAACAGAACTCAACCCTGACGGTAGTTTAAGGTGACACTGACGGTGGTTTAAGGTGACAGTTCATTTCTTTACCGGATTGGTCATTGAGACGACAGTTCATTTCTTTATGGCAAGAATCCTCATGTACTGCTCGTGTTTCTGGGTCAAAGAAAAGATAAGACGGTCTCCACCTTCCAGCATATTCTTAGGGTCTTAAATCACTTGGGTTTGGGGTCTTTTGGGCTTCAGGTTTACTTGGAGGTTGGTATTGAAGTTCTGAACAGTCCAAGCCTGGACAAATAGGATGGCATCACGGTAGCAGCTACCTACGAATCTACGACTACAATGTTGGATCGCACGTGCTGACCAGACTCAAGGTGGTAGTACACGTGACCAGCCAAGATCAAAACCTAACTCCGTCCATTTTTATAAATTGCTTACCCGACGCACTTGGATTCCCAAGTCAAAAATGGCTGACCAGAAAAGTTTCACTCCCTCACAGGTCGCCCGTCACAAATCGAAAAAAGATTGCTGGTTTGTCATTAACGGCAGAGTAATCCTCTCTTTGGAAACATATACTCCTATATTGTTTCGTTTATGTTTGTGGGCAATAAAGTTGTTTCGTTTTAACAGGTACTCGACGTGACAAAGTTCTTGGAAGAGCACCCAGCAGGAGAAGAGGTGCTTATAGAGGCTGCAGGAAAGGATGCGACGAAGGAATTCAATAACGTTGGACACAGCAAGGAAGCCCACAACTTGCTTCTGAAGTACCAGGTTGGTGTTCTTCAGAATTATGCTTTCAATGAAGCAGACAAGAATGCTTCATTCGTGGAATCGGTGCACAAAGAAATGAGTGCTTTTGTGATCAAGGATGATAAAATGCCCAAGTATTCAACTTTTCTTGAGTTCGTCCTGCCATTAGTGTTTGCTGGTTTCTACTTCAGTTACAGATATCTTTAAGAATTGTAAGTTCGATCACTTGATCAACACCTTGCTTCTGCAAGGCTTATCGTGAATAATGAATGTATCAGGAGCATTTTCTCACTCATCAAGAGAGGCTCCCTTTAAGCACAAAATATAATAAATGTCAAATTGTAGTCTGACAGTGCCAATCCTCCCATTCTTATGTACACCTATATCAGATGAAAATTTCACAGTTGCTTGAAGATGGAAGGGTGAGAACAAGATGAAGGTGCAACCACGGAGCATAGAAAGATATCCAGATCCAGAACTAGTCACTCCAGAATTCAAACACATTAAAACCTCGAACTTACTTTTGACATCTATTTATTACCAAAAAGAACACAAAAGGTTCAACGATTGGTTATTTCTTTCAAGAAAACAACCACAAAACGAAATGGGCGCTATAAAAAAAAATACTACACCACTTTGGCTTTAAAAAAAATGTATTACAGGATCGGAAGGCACATGAGAAATGTTCTCGGCCAACTTTCTCTCCCATCTTCTTCGCTCTTACAACCATACAACACAATCAAAACTTTTAAGAGGAAGCGAGAACGGGTAGACAGGGAGAGGAAAAACGTGGGTGGGAGATGGGGTTATCTACAGAAAATACTGCTGGTTACTGCATACATACGAACAAAAGAACACCTACCTATACTGAGCCAGTCGCTTGATAATAATGAAAAACTCTTGTTCCATCAAAAACATCCTTCCCGCATATCACCACTGGGATGCCCTCCGAGCCATTTATTGCCCCAGGCTGTAAACTGTAGGACGTACAGCTTCTTAAATTGCACGCAATGCAATTAACACTGCAGGTAGACCCAATAAACATAAGCCTCTATCAACCAATAAAATCATACTAAAATTCTAATCATTCAAAAACTCTCCATAAAAAAACCATCATTTCGTAGGCTTCTAAAGATGACAAATAGAAATAAAAAGAAACAAAAGGTGCATGGTGCATCGACTACGAACAAATAAAAATTCAACAACCCACCAATAAAATTACATACATGGGTCACATTATGAATGCACCGCCCACACCCCCACTCCCCGGGGACATGTATACAAGTGCAGCACTTGGAAAGAAAAGAAAGGAGAAGCACACAAACTCACTACCACAGCTAGCACGAATGCAAATAATTACACAGCTCCTTTAAAATCTATTTGGCCCAAAAAACTGATAATTAACACATATGCACTGGTCTGGAGTGCACTGAAATGCAGACATTAGTATGAAGAAATCTTCTGTTTCCTAGGTACATCCAGCAGTCAAATGAGAAAAAGATCATAAATTGTCAAACAATGAGTACCCACTGATTGGTTGTTGCCTGTTCTCAATCTAAATGCAGTATAAACATCCACATGTACAATTTAAGGAGTGCTGCAAGCACCAACCTTTAACTAAGCTATAGATATCATACATGCCATAGCCAACAAAATATGAGTTGGCGGGGAGAGAAAATTCATGCAATTTACATGCCACTCTAATAATAATATTGTCTTTGCATTGCAATTAAATTAAAAAAGATTAAACACTGATACAAGTGATTAAATGTGCTGAAAAGTTGTCATTTGCATGAAAATAATTGCAGAGAAATTTAATCTGCATCGGTTTCTTGATATGTCCATGCTCTTCACAAGTTTTCTTTTCCTCATATTATATAATGATAGTTTACTAAATTTTGATGGTTTTTTTTTTTGGTTCACATTGAACAGTTATTCATAAAATATTTATGAACAATTACTGGTATTTTGAATGTTTTTATTCATTTATCATTCTACTCAACATTATGTCAATTGCATTGTGAATATTGGTATAAAAAACAAGGGAAGCTTTGTAGCCTTATTTGCATATTACTTCAAACTTGTTTACATCTGTTTATACCAAACTTGAAAATGGTGATTGCTCTTGACCAATCTCAATCGAGTGCTCAAGAAGCAACACAAAGCGGTGCTAAAAAAACAACAAACTATTCTGAGCGATGACTAACTTCAAAATAAAGCAAAATTCCAAAAGCAACCTAACATTATTCAGATGCTAACAAGCTGTCAAGAAAAATACATAGCATTATTTATAAAGTCTACATACAAGCACTCTGTATGTGTTTGGGAATGCCTTTGCAGTGGGGTTATCAAAACCATTCAAAATCATTCAAAAAAATAAAAATAATAATAATAATAATAATTTGAGGCCTTTTCAGTTGAAAAAAACGTTTGTAAAAGCATTATTAAACACACTTACAATGTTACAATAATTAAGATAGAAAGTTTTTAAGTCAATAAAAAACTACAATGATCATTTGATGCAGCACTTCTAATTTCTACCTGAACCACACATTACCTCTTCATCTGCTAAAATGAATTAAATACCTGATAGCAAAATTTAATGACCAAAAATTAACGACAGAGAACATAAAGCAATAAACATCATAAAAACCACATCATCTCATCACTACAATCTTAAAATTTTTCCAAGCTAATCAGAATCTTAAAGTGCTTGTAAAACTACAAGCAATCAGTAATTATTTAAGTCCATCAATTTATATATCTGCAAAGCATAGAGAGCTTGTTAGAAATACAGCTACAAAATGAACAGTGGCACATTTTAGCAACGTATATAACCCACACATGCAAACAAACAACATCTTAACTAATCTAAATGGCTCACCAATTAAGCAGAAGAGAAAAACAACGGACAAGGCTGCTTGGACAGACCGACTATATTGCATTTGATACTGGGACCGTTGAAGTTGGCGCTGCATAGCTCCATACCAGCCATAAATTTGCTTGTCATAACATTCATCATAACTATCCAGGCAACTCTTACTTTTCTCATAGCATGCATCTATGCCCTATGCAAAAAGTTAAGAAGACCCATTTGACACCACAAACATAATGAGAAAATCAAGAAACAAATTTCAATCAACAAGTAAAATAGAATAGAAGTACACTAACCCTAGTTAACTGTGAAGATTGCAATGGTATTGTATCGGAATCTTGATTATGATCCATTGCCTTCCATTTCCGAACTCCATTCTTTGGCCAGTTGAATTTAGAAATAGATTCCATAGAAGTTAAGATTCCTGACAAACTAGGTACCTTGTGCGGGGGTCGCGGAGCGGGGCCTTCTCATTACAAGGATCAGATTGGCAAACATCTTGAGCAATAGCGATTTTCCAAGCACCAATATCAGCACTAGCACTAGCCGTCCTCCTATGTCCGTGCGGTTTCACATCCCTAGGCTCCAAGGATGCGCACTCAACCAAATTAATCAAGTTATTTGAAGATTTGGGAGTGGATTCTTTACTTATTTCTTGTGTTATCACACTCTCCACGACATGATTTTTTGGAACATTTTCTCTAGGTGTTGTCGGTGGTCCTGACAAAAACAATGCAAGTTCATTGCACTCCCCTTCATCCAAGCGCACCCAAGGCAATGATGTCTTGCCCTCTGAAAGGGCACATTCTTCTAAATGATTTTCTATTTTTAATATATGATCCTCGATTGCAACAATAAAATCACGATGCCTGTCTCGCGCATCATCACCTGAGTTTTTAACATAACTCAACCTGACAGCCCGTGCAAACTCCTCTAACTGCATTGAGTTTTCCAACCCGAAATCAAATAAAACTCACCTAAGCTGATTAAAATAGAAGATCCAATAAAGAGTAGAGGGAGGGGTGACCTGCCATTTGGTGGTACCGAGCGCAGTAAGTAGGTCCCGACCTAGTTGTTCGGAATCCCAGATGCTAGATACCTCTTTCTTTGAATGAATCCATGTTCTATACGTTGATTCCATCCTTCACAAAGCATACGCCAAATTTTAAAAATATAGAGGAATAAAAAAGCGAAGTCAATAAGACAGGCCTGCTCCCTCAAAACAACTGATTCAATCCTCAAAAAGGTAAAAATAAAATAAAACAGCAAAATCAAATTTGTTTTTGCTTCCATTAAATAAGAAATAAATTAATAAATTAAATAAATTTTGTGTTATCCATTATTTGTAGCTAATTCCCCTATATTTTTTAGTGCTACAAGCGAAGCTTAAGAGGCAAGGTCAAAATTTCTAGTTTTAAGATGATGACCGATATAAACGAACCGATTTTAATCAGGAAATAAATTAAAATATGAAAATCTCTCCCCGTAAACCATGAATTGGCCGTAGTTAATTAGAAACGGTACCTGTCTGCCGATTCTTGAACTTCCTCAGCCGCAGAGAAGTATGGATCCTTCTCCCACCGATCAAAACTTGAAGCCATTTTTTTTTAAAAAACAAGACGAATAGAAGATCAGCAATATCTTCACCGAATAATTCTTTTTTTGAAAAAAAAAAACCCTAGCCGGTTTATTCTGTCTGCATTAAACTTCGTTACAACATTGAATGAAGATGCGGGCCAAATGTCAATCTAAATATTTGCTAGAGAGATAGAAAGGAGAGGGGAGAGAGAGGAGGGAGGAGGGGAGGCCTTGTTTTAATGAGATGCACGGGAAAATCTGGGAAGATTTTTAAATGTGTTTGTTAGAACGAAGGAAGGAAAAGGAAGCACCGCAGCCACAGGATTTTAACAAATAAACTGCAGCGTCGACCGAGATTGCTTCTGTACTCGAGTGGTGAGACAGCCGCGAAGGAGGAGTTATTCTTTCTAGAACGATAACGTTTCAACTCGGGCTGCGGTCAAAGTTGGTGTATTTATATCGGATAAAATAATGGAATTTGGCTAAGATCACCACACTAGCGCCAAATTATGAGTTTTGGGCTTATTATAGTAGGTCCAAACAGAACTTTACCTTTCAATCGGAGACTTTTGCCAAATGCGGAGAGGGCAGATGGCTAATGCTCCTTTATCCGTGTTAATTTGTTGCGATACAGTTACGGTTATACAAGTTCTGTTGCTTTTGATACTTTTTAAGGAATTTGATCCTGTTAAGGCCAAACAGAAAAAGAAAATGAATATAAAAAGTAGGAGACAATATGGAACATTTCTTAAAAGTCTATTAACACAAATTCAGAATCCTTTTTTTCCTTTTTCTTTTGCTCGTTATTATGCTTGAATATAATTATTAATTACAACAAATTGTCATAAATGAATAAAAGGAGTGGTGCAAGACTGTTATGATTATGCCAAGTTCAAGCTGGAGGCCATTGGACATCACTTATACAACTGAATATAACTTTTCGAAACTAATGTATTTAGAGCATCATCTGAGATGTTCAAGCTACCACATAATTTGCTTGTACTGATTTATGTTCCACTGCTGTTCAAGAAAAAAAAAAAAAACATAAATGTCCGCTGCTTCATAAAACATATTAATGTTATTCACAATTTTTTTTTTTTTTTTAAAAAAAAAAGCAAAGCCCAACTGCCCAAGGCCGAAGTATATACTGTTAATTAACAAAAAAGGAAAAAAAAGAGAAAAAAAGAGCACTTAGCCCAGAATGATTACATTGGAAACCGGGTAAGCCCACACAAGACAATCATCAAGTCCAGCTCACCAAACATAACCGAAGAGAGGAACCAGGAAACCCACCTGATTATGCCACGTAGCTCTCATCTTACCCGCTAGATTCATCGGAATTGGAAAAAAAAACACACCTCAATTTCTTAAACAGTCGCTGAACTCTGGAGCCCGGTTTCCCTGTTATCGCGCGCCGCCATGGACGAATGCGAACTTCTCTGCGAAGCAGCGAAAAACGGCGACATAGACAAAGTTAAATCTCTCATAAACTCAGGAATCGACGTTACTTACTTCGACAACAACGGCCTTACCCCTCTCATGCACGCCGCCAAGCGAGGCCACACCGTTATCGTCAATGACCTTCTCGAAGCTGGCGCACCGTGGAACGCTCTCTCCCCTTCCAATATCTCTGCTGGAGATTTCGCCATGGAAGCTGGCCACCAAGACGCCTATGCTATTCTCCTCAATGCTGGTACTCTAAAAACTCTCACATTTCTCCTAACTTTCTCTTTAATCAATTCCAATAGTAATTAATTTAAACAGCTTTGGTCTCATTATAATTACTAAAATATCCTCTAATTGTACAGGAATTCAGTCCGAGTTAATATTAGGAACAATTGCAAGGAAAGAGAAATCAAATTCTGATTCTAGTAAGACTTATTTGGAAGATAGGGTTAGTTTTAGCGAAGACAAGATAATGGACTCAGATAGCAAGGCGATAATGATGGCTTGGGAGAAGCCATTGATGGAAGCACACGCAAAGGCGGTTTGCTCAGGTGGCGGTCATATACTGAACATTGGCTTTGGAATGGGCCTTGTGGATGCAGCTATTCAACAATATAATCCGGTTATGCATACGATTGTCGAGGCACATCAGGAGGTTTATGAACGGATGATTCGTACTGGTTGGGGTGGGAAGGAGAACGTGAAGATAGTATTTGGGCGGTGGCAAGATGTTCTTTCTCAACTTGGAACTTATGATGGTAAGTTTTCTTTGCCCGTTTTAAACTATGATTGTGTTTTCTATTTAGATTGTTATAATAGGATGTAGCATATCTTGCTATGTATTGTTATTGTTGTCATTTTGAACTTATTAATGGTTTCTTGTGAAAGGAGGTTTCTTAAATCAATGTATAGCTTCTGCGAGTTGATTTTGTCAGGGAAACATATCAATGTGGTATTGCTGATTGACAGTTTGTTCATAAGTTCATGATTGTGTTGTTTGATGAGAAACTGAGGATGCATGCTTTAGCACTACTTGTTTAACTCGCATAAGAGAGGTAATCTATTATTTAGCAATTAAGCAGATTCTCTGTGTGAAGATGCACTGTATACCTGAATCTATGTTCATCGATAACCTTGTATATTGTATTCTTGTGTTGTGTGTGCACGAGACAGGGTGCTAAGATAAGTACTATAAAGCATGGTACTTCTCAAACCCCATCAACTCCCAAAAGGAAACAACTATAAAGTTCTTTTGAATTCAAACCCCATGAACTCCCAAAAGGAAACAACTCACTCCTTATTTTAGATCTTCATGTATTGCCAACATTGAAAGTCATACAATGCATCTTTGGAAACATGCAGTACACTTGGATTCATGTCTGATCATGACGTATATTGAGTTGAGTTTCAGCTTCAAATATATAAATTTATATTGAGTAACTCTATGTACTGGTAATGAGTATTATTTTGGTCATTTTGTAAAGTCTTTGCAGTATTGCCGACATAAGGGAAAGTTTCAAGACGTTTCGTAATGTCTCCGAACTAATTTGTCCTTGCAAGGAATGAAAATTATAGCTATATAATGAAGTGTATTCTTTGGAATGGCAGCAGAGCAATTGCAGATAAAATAACTCCCTTAAATATGGGCTAAATCTGTGCAGGTATTTTCTTTGACACTTATGGAGAATATTATGAAGACCTGAGAGAATTCCACCAACACTTGCCTGTGCTATTGAAGCCTGGAGGAATCTACTCATTTTTCAATGGACTTTGTGGAGGTAATGCATTCTTCCATGTTGTTTATTGTAATTTAGTCTCGCTAGAACTCGAGCATTTGGGCTACTCCACACAGTTAATTCCCTTGCCTGTTAAGGATTGTTTGGGAGAAGAAGTTTGGGAAGGTGTGAGACACAAGTATTGGCAGCTTGATACATACTATCTCCCTGTTTGTCAGTCTATCAAGGATTCGGAATGATATTTTAATTCATGACGTTAACTTTTTCTCCATTTTTTTTAAATTTCTAATCTATACTAGACAGCTCAGTTTCAGACAATTTTATTCATAGATGCTGTTTTGGAGGATCCTTCTAATGTCTTGAGGTTGTTGGATTGCTCAGTGCATTTTTGTTAATTTGAGTCTGTCGTAACTTGGACTGCAGCTTGCCATTGATTGATCAAGAATGAACCTAAGGTTATAAGATCATGAAAGATGTTGTGGCCTGTTAGTGAAACCAGGTTATTGCTAAATTTGGAGATGGTTTTGAAATTTAGATGAAGGTTAATAAGAAATGACTTCTGCTTCAGATGTAAGGGAGTGATGCGGAGGGAATTAATGGTTTCAGAACTGTTGTGTGGCAGGCATTTCCACGAATTTTCTTGGTATTAGAACTTAACGCTACATTGCTTCTATATTGTTCTTCTTATTTCAGCTAAATTATTTTGAGGGATGTATTTGATGATTTTACATCCCCTCGTTTTCTTCTTAAGCTGGTCTTTGTGGAACCCCCTTTCCAAATTAGTTTTAGGGCATATGATAACTTCACCTAAGCAAGTTCAGCATGTGAGCATTCTCGTTTGGCCACTGGATGTGTCTTCTGATTAAGTTCAGTTTCACTTGATTCATTGCTATGCAAACATTCTAAACTCTCTTGTTTACTTAGCCATTAAGTATAAATTTTTTAAGGCTTTAGAATCAGAGCCACTAAATACAACTGGAGAACCATTTTCAATTCAAACATTTTTTTTCCATGGTCTTCTGTACAATCATTCTTCCCTTCTTTTTCCTACGTCCTCTGATCACCTCAGAGAGCGATTAAAGACGAAACAGCTGGCCAGTTGTTGGAACATAGAGAAGAGATTAAAAACAAGCAGAAATTTAAGCACGTCCCATGAATAATACTATGAATGATAATCATTTATGGGATTTCTTCAAGATTTGTGGTTCATGTCCAGCGGAAGGCTATTGGACTACTGACAACGTGCTTCCCATCCGACCACTCCAGATGAGCAAAGCTGCTTGTACCAGATGGCAAGGATGTAGCGGTGAAAGTCACCGTGTAACTCCTTCTCTCATATTCTTTAGCAAAGCTCAGGGATTCTGGCTCAACTAAGATCTTAACCGATTGAGTTTGTGAAGTCATTGAAACCTTGTATGTTGCTGGTGCGCCCACATTGGTCAAAGTCCTGGTGTATTTGAATGTACTTTTTACACCAGCACCGCCCCCTTCGCCTGAAGCAGTTTGTAGTGGAACAGAGAAAGATGGGTAATTAAGATCCCCCAGACTGTGTTTCTTGCTGGGGTCGCAAGTGAAGTCTTTGTTTGTGATTTGTTTGATGTCAGATGCGCTATAGTTTAAAGCACAAAAGAAGCTTATGTAGTCATCAACAGTTGCATCGTAGACAAGGCCAGGATCAAGGGCTGCTACTGGATTTACATGTCCAGCTCCAAAATCAAACGGCGTTGATGGTTGCCCTGTAGCCACGTCTAAAATGTTTTTCCCGTTTTTGTATGTTGCATAGGCCGTGGTCATGAGAGCGGACTTGATGGCTGCTGGACTCCAGTCCTGGTGAGCAGCCTTGATGAGTGCAGCTAACCCACTTACATGAGGACATGACATTGATGTACCTGAAATGATATTGAAACTTACATGCCTCTTGTCGTTTTTTAGCCCAGTTGGTCCAACTGCCCCAGCCCATCCCGCCAGTATGTTGACTCCTGGTGCTATTAAATCTGGTTTGAGTACTTCTGGAGTGACAAGATTTGGACCTCTAGAACTGAATGCTGCTACCACTGGCGATGGTTCAACTCCAAGCTTTGTGCCTCCAGGAGAAATCGTGGCCATTGGTTTTGGATCGGAGAAGGCATAGTGCTTAATTACATCCGCAGTTCTTTGCCCCACAGCGGCTGTGGGTAGAAGATGTGCGTCAGCGACTAGCTCTTCTCCATACAGCTCTGTGTTTGCTAAAATCATCCCTAGGCCACCAGAATCTTTCACCACCAAGCCCTTTTGGACCCTACTATTTCCCCCTCGATCACATATCACAATATTCCCTGCAACTTGTGCAGGAACCAAAGTCCCTGTCATGCAAAGGTTGCCGCTTGTTGAATTGCTCACATTGCCAGAAAAAATCAGTGGCACCAATGAATCGGATAATGACTTTCCACTATAAAGTGATGCGCCCGAGTAGTTCTTTCCATTTCCAAGATTCACGTAGGCTGGGAAATCACGGTCCAACGTTCCAGCACCTACTGTGGTTATCCAAGGTGCAACATTAGCTAAGCTACCTGGACTTGGCCCTCCATTTCCCGCTGAGCATGATACAAGGACTCCCTGTGCCGCTGCTCTGAAAGCTCCAATTGCAACCGTATCTCGATTGTAGTCTGAGAGTCCTCCTCCAATAGACATTGACATGACATGAACACCATCTGCAACAGCCTTTTCCATTGCTGCTAAAATATCAGAGCTAAAACATCCACCCAACCAACACACCTTGTAAGCTGCTACTCGAGCATGTGTCGCCATTCCCCGTGCTGTCCCGGAAGCATACCCAAAAAGGCTAGCTTCTGCGACAGCTGACCCAGCTGCTGTAGTTATCGTGTGAGTTCCATGGCCATCATCGTCTCTTGGTGAATTTGATTCCATTGTTTCGTCAATAGGTCCAAATGCTGCTTCGTAGCCTTTTGAGAAAAATCGTGCACCTATCAGTTTCCGGTTACAGCTTGATGAATTAAAGTTCTTACCCACCTCACAAGTGCCTTTCCAGGTACTTGGTATGGGGCCAAGCCCTGTGTCATCGAAGCTTTTTATCTCTGGCCAGACACCAGTGTCTAGTACTCCAATGATCACCTCACTTGGGGAGGCAGAAGCAGGGAGGACAGCATCGCTTTTTCCCAACCCAAGGAACTCTGGGGTGCGAGTTGTGTGCAGCTTGTAAATCATCTCAGGTAGGACCGATAGAATTCCGGGTTGTTTTTCCAGTAGTTCAGCCTCCTCTGGTGTGAGTCGGGTGGAAAAGCCATGGATTATGTTGTCGTAAGTGTAAAGCATGTCAGCAGATTCTGATACGGATTTTAAAGATGAATCATACCATTGGAAATGATCATCGTAAATCGCTGGCATATTAGACTTGTCCATGTGAATTATGTAAGTCATCTTCGTTTGCTGGCTCTTCTCTTCTGCCACCGCATGTGTGTAGCAGAAGCACAGAATTAGAAGTGTAGGTATCAGTTGAAGCCTGAATTTCAAGTCTTTCATCTTCATTAGCTGTCTTTCCAACCTCATATTGGAGAATTCAGGCAGTATAATGTTCTACTTCTGACAACTGTTCTTGTTTTAAAGTGCAGAGGGAGAGTAGAAAGTGAGGTTTGCATAGGACTGGGAAAGATTCTCTTGGTTCCTGGGAAGGTCTCCACGGGTTTTATACATATGACATGATGACAACAGGTTTGACTCAAATGAATTGTTGTTTGGAACACTGAATAGGATTTGGAGCTATGCAGAGGAGGTTATGAAGCTTATCAAAACTAGCAGTGTTTTATAATTAATTATTTAACTCTTGAAATCTTCCAAATGGCACTAGTGTAATATACTCTAGTTCTGTTTATTTGGAAACCAATCAAGTTTGATACTATAGTCACTAGGGCCAGAAACATGCATGAGTGAAACCACTAGAGCAGAAATGCACGGTGATGGTTGTTAAATAATTATTTTCTTACGTGACATCATTATCTGGATTCCTGAATATTCTTATTCCTATTAATGGCCAGCTTATTGAGTATCTTTGTGTTAAAACTTAAAAAGAAAGCACCAAATTAGGTGATGGATTTTCGTGTACTGTTCAAATTTCCGAAACCAAATCGTGGCGTTTGCTAGCATTTCAAGGCCAATGTCTTTGGATTTCTCTAAAGACGCTTCAGAAAGTGCCCGATTAATGATGAACCACACGGTGAATCAAGTACTTGCACAGTTTACTTAGTGTATTTGTATTCTCCTTTTTGTCAATTATAAGCACTTGATCTTGCAGCCACGTGTATTGTAGACGGATGCAGGTATCCATCCATGTCTTAATTCTCTACAAAAAGTTGGCCACATAATTTGGAGGTTCTATCTGAACAGTCCCACTTAAGTGGATAAATGAGATAGACCTTAGTGGTGGGGAGGAGTTTGCGAAATCTGCATTGTTTCTAAACTTTACAGGTCATCATGCATAGGAGTAAGTGCTCTTGGGAATCCTAATTGCATTAACATTTGTCGTAAATCATGGAATATTGGAATCCTGCTTTCATTCCACCTAATGACAATATCCTGCAATTTTTGGTTGTTAATAATATATTATGTACCAGCTGGTTTGAGTGAAAGATATGATAAAATAGACTATTTGTTTTTACCCAACACCTCACTTAACTTGCACAAAATAATCATCTGTCTGCTTTGGTTTAGTGGAAAGACCACTAATTGCCCATCTCAAGTATGTCTGAAAGGATTGAAGTCATGCCCTCCAACTACTTTCTTAATGAGCAATTATCGGTAACAGATTGTGGTGGGTGGTACTAGAGATTTTGGGCCGTTTAGATTGAGCTATGCGTGGTTGAGAAATGAGAGCTGTACAATAAAACTTTATGAAGAAAAAAAAAAAAAAGCTGAGGACATTTGGTCATGTTGTACAATTATCACAAAGTAATTAAAGGCCCCTAAGAAAAAAGAGCCTTTTCTTTGATTGGATAATCGAATTGTAGTAATGTTTAATCATAGCAGACACCCATATGGCTGTTTTACACATGTTCCAGCTATATATTTTTGACAGCTAGCTGGAATGGACCCCCACCACTAATAATTGCTTGACTGTTTTAGAAGCCGTAGCATTTTCTGCTTTCAATTGCTCGTATGGAATTCACATATAAATAATTCCATACATATCCATCGATCATCATAGCTTTGTAGTCCTGGTTTATGTTTGATTAAAGCTTGAATATAA